AAAAAAAAAAAAAAAAGGATTTGTCTTTTAGAATATTTGAAGTCTTTAGTTCTTTATTTGTTTTGGTCTTGTGAAGCTTTGAAGGTAGACCACACAAGAGTGATAGACACATCGTATATCTTCAAGCATGCCAAGTCCAACAGAAAACCTTCTTTGAGTTTGTTGTGTAAGGTGACTTACATCCCATTCATTTGTTCTAGAAACATCTCATTACTGCCCGAATGATCTGCTAACTTCACGCGTGGCTTTTTGTATAATAGTGTTTGGCTGCTTTATTACCAGAACATATGCGTCATGCAATGAATCATAAACTATTTCATTTTGTGTTGTAAACTAGACCAAGTTAGGTTATGAGCTCCGGGAAAAGGGAAAGCCACACAATTGTCTAGATGATGCTTGTGCCGCCATGAAGCTCGTCTTGGCCAGATTGGAGGGAAAAATTGATAGTGTAATAATAAGTGATGAGGTAACTTCAGTGAATCAATATGTTACTGCAACTACTACTCAAAGTCGAGACATTACTCCACAAACATTATATCTTAGGTGAAAGAGTTGGACGTGGCCAAGTTGCTTGTGCATAGAATCCCTTTTAACATTCTTAGCACAGATTTGAAGAGCTTGCTACCTGGTGATTGTACTATTGAAGTGAAGGTTTGTACAAAGTTTTATTTTGGCCATTCGTTTGGTCTAGAGCGATCACTACACAATCACCTGTTCACGTCATTAATAATTGTTATTTTATCAGGTGGGTATCAAAGTCAAGAACACATATTCGGCCTTTGCAATTTACAAAAGTCAGCAAGAAGCAATTGAAGCTTTTGAGAATCTTGAAGGTGATTTTGCAAAGGTTTGTTGTTCCTTGTTCCTATGCCCTTGTGTCTGTTATGTAAAGACAGTAAGACGATGTGGATGTTTGGATAAAAAATATTAGCTTTCTCATGTGTTAAAAATTTGTTTTTTTTTTATTTCCATAATTTTTTGCTAGGACTCATATGGGCGACCTCAGAAGCTTGTGAATTTCGAGCTCGATTCAGGAGAAACTGTTACTTTGTGTGTGTGTAAAACTTTTGAGGATGATGCTGTTGGCCTGCTATCGAAGAAGAGGTTGGGCGAAGATGAGAGCGTTGGCAAATCAAAGAAGTTGAAAACCGACCAAACGTCTCGACAGCTTGAGGATTCCACCAATCAGTGTGACGCACATCTGGAAGAAATTGGAAGATTAAAGAAAGAACTAAAACAGAGAGACAAGGAAATTTCAAGCTTGAATAAAATAATTGCTGCACTTGCTAGAAAACAAGGGCTTTGAAAGCATTCGTGTAGAAATGCCTGATGTTTTCCTCGAAACAAAATCGAAACAGGCCTTTCTCCTGGAGAAGCCTGAATGGAGAATATTTTTTGGCCATAGAAAGGGGATTTTGTTCTTCTTTTTTTTTTTTTT